AATGATCCTAAAGATTGACCCAGAACTAAAGCCATGAAATATAACCAAAAGAAACTTGAAAATACAAAACTAAACACCAACAGTACGAAACCACGATCCAAACACAATCAAAAAAATTCTAAACTAGAGAAAACCTAAAAGTCAGAAAAACTCGAAGCCCTCGATCCAGGGACCCTGACAGCAGTCATAATACAGAGTAAAATTACACATTATGAAGGTGACATTTTGACACACGTTTGCTACAATCATTCCATGTGCTATGGTGCATAGATGATTGTAGCATTGTATGCATATTTGTTTGTTCCATATCTCCTGCATGCATACTGAGAGGTTTGTTAGAATATAGTAATATAATTCAGGGAACCACATTTTAATCATGCTGCATCAGTCTGAAAAGTTCAAATGAGCATCAGTGTCTCATTTACAGGAAGAATTCAAATAAGAAACATTTGAATTGCAAAAAAATACAACAGAAACAATTCAAATGAGCAGCAGTTTCTCTTCTGCAGAAACTATTGTCTGCTTTTCTCTTTGATAGAAATCTTTCTTGGACAATGGTCAGAAGACACGCTCGTGCTCATTTGCAAAATTCAAATAACCATCAGTGCGTTGTGAACAGAAAGAATTCAAATCAGAATTTATTTTTTAAATATTCCCTTTGAAATAAATGGCTAATAAATAAAACACATGGTTTGCAAAAAACAGTTAGAACTTTAATCTAAATGACCTTTAACTACAGAACTCTGTAATTTTAGCAGCTGCTTCTACCAGTACCAGTGAACACCAAAGCCTGAGACCAGTAAGGAAGTTTAGAGAGCTGCAGAGGTGTTATTTGCGTAGCAAGAATCTGAAATGAGGAGAGTTCAGTCACCGCTCAGTCGTCTGTCTGCAGCAGGATCTTTGTAGCAGCTCAGTATGTATACAGCTTCCTTTTATTTTGTAACTTCATATGACCTTTTAATAATCAATGCTGTGTACAAATGTTAGATTGCATTAACACATGAAAATATCTCGAAGGAGTCTGATTTTCTGCAGGTTTATGAAAATAAAATGAGACCTCCAGTCATCCTTTTCCTCCTGACAGCATTGGCCGGTAACTGTATACCTCTCCATGTCGTCCTCTTGTGCACATTTTGAGTTATTTTATTATTTATTTTCTGGTTTTCTTTGTAAACTTAAAATGCATTTATCTGGTATTCAGGCTTTCAGTGGGAGAAAACACAGCTTTTAAACAGTGATTTCAGTGACCTTCATTTTAAGAATTCGTTAAATTTGTGTGACACCTCTGTTTTTCCCCTGCCTGTCAACTTAGTTATACCATCAAATTATTTTTATACAGAAAAACACAGTTTTACCAGTTTCTTTTTTAAACCATTTCAAAGTTTTAGTAATGTTTTTATTAATTTTCCTGCCTCTCAGGGAGTGTTCCCATCAAGACCTTGGTTTTCCCCACTGAGTCATGCACCAGTTTTGCTGAGATGATGCCTCAGAAGCCGCTGAACCTGACTGCATTCACTCTGTGCATGCGAGTGGCCACAGAGCTCAGCGGCCAGCGAGCGATCATCCTCTTTGCATACCGGACTGGAAGCTACGATGAGCTGAATGTGTGGTGTGAACTGGATGGAAGGTAGGACATCTTAAAGTCAGCATCTACACTGTGAGCTTCCCCCAAAAATAATATCAACCAAATCTGAAAAGTTCCCACTCACGTATTTCATGTACACTAACTTTATTCTGTTAATGGAGGCATGCTGGGATAGACTCCAGGCCTTCACGGCCCTGATAATGTTCAGCATAAGAAAATGGATTGGTTTCAACAGAATGTGTCAAAATGAAAATTACAGATGGATTTCTCCTGTACTTACAAATCTATGAAGGAAAAACAGCCCACAGTATGACCTCCCATTATGTGGTTTATTAAATATACTGAAGTTATTGTGGAGCACAGTCGGGGGTCAGGTGGTTTTTACAGTGGCCCTGAGAGGCCAAACGGAC